CGTGTGTCGGGTTTCACCCTGGCTGCGATGACAGCCGTTGATCGCTGTAGTTTGTCGCTGCCCGTATGTCGAGCCCTTAACATGCATTTGGACCCGTGGGGACCTGACATTGTTCCCCACAATTCACTTCGGTCCCCACCTGGCTGCTTTTTTTGTAGAAAATACCCCACGTTGTAGGAAAAACCCGTCCACACACACACACACACACACACACACACACACACACTGAGGTACCGTTGCAGCTGCAGACACTCTCCCAGGCGTGCTGTGGGTTGATGTAACCGGCCCTGGCTGTGGTGAAATGGTTGAGTCTCTCTCCTGACAGCATCACGGCGTTCCTGCAGCCCCGTGGCGGGCAGCCGGCGCCCACGCACCCATCGTGGCTCACGCCCAGGATCCTGAGGCTCAGAGAGTCCTCGACGTTCGACAGAATCCCTGCATCGAAGAGATCGGTTTCAGTTTGCGTGAGGGCTGAACGTGTGAACAAGTGACCGTGTCGACAGCTCACCTGAGAGTTTGCTTGTCGGCAGGGCCTGGTGGGTCCGATCTTGAGGCCTCCAGACCAGCAGGACCTCCAGGATCTGGGTGTCGGGCGGCTGCTGCAGGCTGGCCAGGTGGATCTCCTGTCTGGGCAGACTCAGATCCTGGGCCAGTTGGCGCTGAAGGCCTCTCCAGTAATCGCCCAGGAACTCCTCAGGTGACATCCCGTCCAGCCGCAGGGTCAGACCAGAGTCCAGAACCCTCTGGTCCGCCGCCCACACGTGAACCCTGACCCCGGCCCAGACGCTGAACTTCCCGTCGCTCACGCTGACGTTCAGAGCGTACGAGCCAGCCTCCAGGTGCTCGTCCGCCCAGATCCTACCGTCGTTCGGGTCGATGGAGAACCTCTCCCCGGCGGGGTGTTCTGACACCAGTTTGTAGGTCAGGGTGTCCTGCAGGTCCTGGTCCGAGGCGTGGAGTCGGCCTAYGACCCGATTTGCAAACAGTCCTCCAGCCGTGGTGATGAAAACCTCTAAGGGCACGACGCTGGGAGGGTACCTGCTCTGCTCGGTGACGTTAATGTTGACCACGCAGATGGACGAGCGAGGAGAGAGACCGCTGTCTGTCACCTGAAAAATAAACGTTTTCTTTGAACAAATTCAACTTTTATTCAAATAAGAAACAAACACTTTGATTATGATGAGTAAAACACTTCAGCTCAACTTAATCCAAAACATTTTTCAGTGGAGCAACAAAAACGACCTGTTTCTGATTTAAATGTCCAGRTTGGGCAGCTGACAGTTTTATGACATATATATATATTTATTTATCAAATCAAAGTCTAATGTTACAAGTAACCGTGGATCCCTTTAAGAAAAACAGTTTTTTCAACAGAAGATCTAAAATGTTGGCATGAATGTTGACAATCTACATTCCCTCAWCTGTCTCTGTGTTGTGGAAATCTTGTTCGTGACGCCAGGTTGTCGTGGACATGTCTATTTAACAAGGACAGAAATACGTGATTCAAAGAATAAGAGCGCTTTGTAGAATGATCAACTGAGGATGTTTACAGCAATAAACAAGAACAGAAATTAACACAGAGCCATGTTAAGATCTATGCTAACAGACAGCTCTAATGGCTTACTTTATATACTGTTTAAGCTACAGATCAGATCATGATGTCACTCTCAGGCGCCGAGGCCAAATGAAAAGAATAATAACAGATAAATTACAATGACAGGAGTCATTGTAATTTTATAGATTACATCTAGTCCTAGAACAGAGTAAAACACAGTAAAGCTGATGTCATCAGGTCTGTTGAATATCTTATAACCGGACCTAAATAAGAACAGATCAATAAATATCATTCCATTACACTCGGCTTTCACCTTGTTCTTGTCACCTTCATTTGAAGCCCTTTGTTTTGTTTTTGCTCCGTTTAACGCACGATTGACGCTGCTGAATGTCTCATTTCACACAGATCCAAATCCTCGTTCCGTTCGCTTCATTTTCTAAACAAATCTGTAAATTTTCTGAAGTTGTCTCAGAATGAGAAGCATAATCCTGCTGCAGACTGAGCTCTGCTGTCAGAGCTGCTAACATGAGAGGAAACAAACAGAATCGTTGTGTGCTGAGAATCTGGAGCAGCTCCAACCATGAGACAATGATCTCCCTTCAAAGCAGGGCTGCCGCTATTAGTCGACTAATAAAAATGTAGATAATTTAATAGTTGATGCGTCGTTTTTTTTCC